TATAATTAAATATATTTTAAAACTTTTAAAAATCTTAATATAAGAGACTCTATTGAAAATAATTTTATAATATTAATTATAATATTATAAAACCAGAATCTATTTAATAGAAATTCAATAAATAAGTTATAAATTAAAAACAATAAAGCTATATATCAAAGATTTAACAAAAGAACTATAAAGCAATTTTATAGAAAGTTTTGATTATAAGTTAGATATAATCCTTAAATCCTTGTTATTTTATAAGATAAAAAAAAAAAGATAAAAAAAAACCCCAAATTAGTAAAATATAAAACCATTTCAAGAATCAAATAATAAAAATAATATATAACAAACTAAAGATAAAAAAAAAATTAATTAGTTAATAAACTTTTAATCTAGTTGTATGGTTTATATATAAAAATTTTAAAAATTTTAAATTATTTTATTGTTATTTTAATTAAGCTAATAAAAAAATATTTTTTATTAATAATTTACTTGCAATATATATAATAATAATTTATTTATTTATTTACTTGTAAAGCTTGATATTTTTAAGTGCAATATGAAAATAATATTCTACTAACTTGATATTTACTTTAATCAATGTCCTTAAATTATTGACTTGAAATTAAATAAAAGATTAAAATTATATTATAAAAAATTCTAAAGAAAAAAAAAAATAAGATAATCTCAAAGACTTTACTGACATAATAACATAAACAATTTCTTTGCGACTGATGTAGTGCATCAAAGGATGTGTACCAAAAAGGAAAAGGCAATGACACAGAATTGCTTATATCTAATATTCTTTCTCAAGGATTACGTACCAACCTAGATGACAAAGATTCCATTACTCATTTACTATAGGTACAGTAAGTCATTACCTTATTAGATAGGTTGTTTGTTGTATTTCAACTCTTAGTGTCGATGATTAACATTCCCGACTCCCAGACAACATCTTTTTAACATGTAATTAGATTTTTAAGCACTGATTACGCTTTACGCGCACTAGTTCATCTTAAAATTATTAGTAATTCTGCAATTTAATGTTATACAAAAAGCAGATAAGAATAAAGGTTACTAAATTTAGTAGTATTATTTTTTCACATATTACAGTATTTAGACGATTTGACGACCGACTTATTTCGTCCACTTTCGCCTCTCGACCTGAAAGACAAAAAAAATGGTTTTCTTGAGTCATGCTATTTCTGATGCTCGATTGGAAGAAGAAAAAGATGAATGCGGCAATCGGGTTTGTAGTTTTCTAAAACATTAATAAAAATAATACACACACATATTTTTTGTTTTAACTTTCGCAAATTTGTCAAAAATAAAGGTTTTCTCTACTACTATCTATGGAAGTCGTTGGGCTATCCAGCCAATTCCCAGGTGATTATTAAAAAATAAATTTTTATTGGCAAATAAGTTCTAAAGACTCGAAATTCATGTAGATATGAAATACCCGAGGAAGAAATGCCTCCAGAAGTTGCTTACAAGTTAATCAAAGATGATCTCTTGGTAATGTTACACGAGCACATTTCGTCTTGGCTTTCAATTCGCATGTTGATATTTCTCTTAACGAAAATATCTATATGTCATTTACAGATGGACGGAAATCCTGTTTTAAACTTGGCATCATTCGTTACGACCTTTATGGAAAAAGAGGCTGAAAAATTGATGAGAGAGAATTTATCTAAAAATTTTATCGATTATGAGGAGTATCCAGCCTCTGTCGATTTACAAGTAAATTACTACATTTCGTTTTATACTGCACCAAAAAACTTTCAATTAAACCTTGTCGAATATTAGAATCGCTGCGTCAACATTATTGCACGTCTGTTTAACGCACCCATGGATCAGAAAGATTCGGAAGCAATGGGTGTTTCGACCATAGGTTCTTCAGAAGCCATCATTTTATCCGTGCTGGCAATGAAGAAGTTATGGCAAAAAAGAAGAATTGCTGAGGGGAAATCGATCGAACATCCTAATTTGGTTATGTCTGCTTCAGGTGAATTATTTTTGTCATCATTGTTTCTACCTATTTGATGACATTAAAATTTTTTC